TGGCTCGCAGCCCGCTCCCCCCGGCCGGAGTGTGCGCTGTTCTGCGGCTGCGCCCCTGCAGCTCCCGGGAGCTGTGTTTCTGCGGGGAGCAGAGGCCTGGGCCGAAGCTGTTAAACTGTAGGAGCTTTCCCCTGAGGGCGAGGGGCCAGAGAGCCTGGCTGTTTGGGTCTGCCTCGCGCTGCCGTAGCCAAGAGCGGTGTGCTTGAACCCGGGCTCCAGGGCTGTCCTGCTATCCGAACCTACCGGCCTGGTGACTTCTGCTCAGCCTGGTAGCTCCTGAAACGCTCCCCCTGGATCAGTTATTTGTAGTCAGGTGGTGCTTCCGTAGCTTTCCGTGCCTGGGGAGGGGGGGAATCTTGCAGTTTAGACCCTTGGCAGTCAGCCTGCCGTTCCTTCTCATCTTCATCCTCAGTAGCTCTAGAACTTGCAGTCACACTGAGGAAATCAAGTAGCTAGCTCTCTGTAAGGCACCGCTGCGAACGCCTCGCAAACCAGCGGCTGTGAATTCTTGTAGATTGCACCTTCGACAAAGAGTCGGAGCTCACCCCTCTTGAATCGGCGATCGGTGTCCTGGAGCTCGTCCAGAGAGAATTCTCTGTGGCTGAGAAGACGATGGAAACTGTTCAGAAAATGGTGAAGGAAGCTGTAAGACCTTTTTCTTTTCCAATAAGTACTCCGCTCATCTTTTGTCTTAGACGGGTCTTGCGTAAATGACGGTGGGAATTGCCTCGCGTGTGGAATACCGTAGTTAGTACTGATTTGGCCGCCAACGCATATCTTCAGTGTATGCGCTTCTTCATCGGTTAATGTAGAAGTTGTTTCTCCGTGTACGTTGGTACTAAGCTGTTACCTGTGCCGTGCTTCGTTATCGTACGTGCTTTTCTAAAGCTGATCTAGAGCGTATGGTCAATTTGATGTCAACAGAGAAACTGGTATTTGTTTTCTTCTGTAGGCTGTTATTGTCTGCATCAAAAACGGGGAGTTTGATAAAGCTTCGAAAATCGTGAAGAGGCATATGGGGAAGGAGCCCAAAAGCCAGGTGAGTCTGTGCCGGAATGAAAGCCGGCTGTTTGAGGAGTGTCCGATACGTCTTATGGGGTACTGGGGATATTTGGGGGTGGTCTGATATGTCTTATGGGGTATTGGCGGGGCGGGGAGGCAGTTGTGACCCGTATCGCAGGCGTAAAAGGTTTCCCGGAGGAGCACGCCTCTTAGGGAAACCCGAACAAGAAGAAAGGCTAAGGGTGATGAAATGGAAAGAGTCGTCCTTGAGAGGTGGACCCTCAGTGTTAGGCGCTTCTAAAGCATGTCGATCCTCACTTTGGAGCTCCCTCTGTTACTCGTGTTCCCTCGCGCATCTTCACGGGTCCTCCAGGCATCGACATTCATCCTTTGCCTCGCGGCAGACTCGAGCTCACATGTAGAGCGTGAGTTCGTAAGAAGGGCTGGTTCTGAAAGCAGGAGGAGTCCCCGTTCCCATTTCTGTAGGCGGTGTAGTGTCTTGGGCACCGGAAGCAAAAAGTCAGAGCTGCTGAAACCAGATGGCTCTCCCGTTCCTCCGGCCTTTTCCCAGCCTTATGTCAGTGTAAATTAGTTGGGCCTGGAGAATGTCAAATGGGAAGGGCCCGATCCTCGCCCAGAGCCTAGCTCCTGCGGTTGTCGTTTCTACCCTTGTACCTATTCAGAGCGTTCTTACCTCTCCTCTAGAAAAAGAGGAACGAGTTGCTGACTGTCATCCGGGAGAAGAATTTCGCTCATCCGATGGTCAAAAACTTCTCTTACAAGAACTTCCAGCAGAGCGTGTTTCAGTTCCTGAAGGCCTATGTGGACGATTCGGAGCCGCTGCTGCTAACGGTGTGTGTCTGCCCTGCTTACCTGGCCTCCCGTCCTGCGCCTGCTTCTGCCCCAGCAAGGGGCAGCAGGAAAACGGCATGAGAGGCAGGTCTGGGAGAGCTGACGCTTGCTTTGCCACGAGGCAATGAAATACAGTAACTTGGCTTCCACGCGCCTTCTGTGCCAGTAACGCGTTAGAGTTTAGGTGCCTAATTAACAGTGGGTTAAATCCAGAATACTTCAAATTTAGTCCATTCCTAAAGGGTTTGTACAGCTGAACACATTTTTCAATCCGTGTAACAAGTTTTAATTGATAGACACGAACTCTGTACATGGTGCCGACTGAACTGCAAGTAGCGGCTGAAAAAGCCTTTGGGAGGGGATAAATCGGATGGTAGTACGGGGAATCGTCTTTATAACGGTTATGTGCTTTTTCTCTGTCCAAGATAATGAAAAAGACTTTGAATTCAGAACGTGCCAAAGAACCAAAATGCTCGTCGGTGACTCCTGAGTCTGCAAATAGGCCGAAGGACCAGGCAGCAGCTCCGGAGCCCTCGGGAGGGGCAGAGGGCCCAGCAGGAGCTCCAGAGCCTGCAGAAACAGCAAAAGACCTGGAGGGAGCTCCCGACCCTGCAGAAAGGGCAGATGACCCCGCAGCAGCTCCCGAGCCTATGGAAGGAGTTAGTGACTCTGCAGCAGCTCCCGAGCCTGTGGAAGGAGCTACTGACCCAGCAGCAACTCCTGAGCATATAATAGCAGCGGATAATATCTCGGAAGATGCTTCAGAGCCTATGGAAATATCTAAAGAACCAGAGGCAGCAGCTCCGGAACTTCCAGGAGTGTCCTTCAGGGACTCGGCAAGGTGGGCAGAGGAATCCGGCGCCGCGTTGTGGATGAAGTTTGGCAGCAGTTCTCTTCCGAGGGGTAGTTTGCTCTGTCCAGGCAGCTCTTAACTCCCCCGAATGCCAGCCCAAGCAGGTCTGCCCAAGCAAGCCCCAAAGGCTATCGGTGCGAGGCTTCTGTAAAGTAAAAATGTTAAGGTGGTTTGGTTTTTTTTTTTTTACCTGAAGATAGATAGTACTTTAGTAAACTAGGGAGGGAGGGCGGTGGCTGCCAGAAGGTTTGCTCTCGTGGAAGTAGTGTTTGGTATCCGTATGGTTCAGCCCCTGGTCGAGAATAGCGGGGCATCCAGTGGCGCATGGGCACGTTCTCTCAAGACCTGCTTCCCCGGTACACCGCACCGTTTAGAAGGAGGGCGGACCGGAGGGTTGGGAATGCCCTCTTCAGTAGATTTTATTTGCACCCTAGGGTTGATTGTTGAGGGTCACACCGTAGGGTGTGACCAATTTTCAGTGAAGTGGAGCCACCTTGGTGATATCTTTACAACCTGCTCAGTTCTGTTTGTTTTGTAGGCAGCCCTCTGGAACTGTAACCGTGTATGGGATTTCTGTTCTGAGAGAAGCTTTCAAGATCCTGTCGGACTCCCAGGATTCTGATGCGCTCTTCACCAAACTGGACGAAACAGACTTTTCTTTCCCCAAGCAACTGTCTCCTTCTGTATCCCACAGAACCAAGAGATGGAAAGAAGAGGAGAATCAAGATTCTAAGATCTCAGACCCTCCTGAAATATCCTGTAAGGGCAAACGCTTGTTGACCATAAGCAAACTGGTCATGGAGCAAGACAGCCAGTACAGCGAGTCGAGTGAGAGCCCAGACTCGTCCCAGGAGCCAGTTGTATCTTCTGCTTCCAGACCTGTTCAGAAATTGCATGACCAGCCTGTATCTACTAAGAGTGCCAAGTACGAAGCCCATCTCTTGTGGTATATTCTAATCTGCACCCAATCTTTTGACTTGCAGCTGACATCGGTAGCATGAACAACAAAAGCCTTTATCTCTAATTCAAGATGAGTATATTGGCCGTCCTTGTCCGCTAGCATATGCGGAACTGGGCAAAGTAAACGCTCTGTTGTCCTTACACTTTGCTGTTTGGTTAATGGAGAGGAGAAAATGATCTGGCTTCCACTGGCAGTGAGTCAGAGGTACTGCAATTAGTATTGGTAGGCGATTCCGGCGTGCGTATCACAGGTAACGCGTGTTTCTCTGCACTTCGGTTAGTGACGCTGAAGCTGGAAAGCGTTTGTAGGTGCGTCGTGTGGAACGGATGAAATTCTCCTTTCCACCTCTTGAGAAACGCAACACTGACCTCGCTTAAGCTCTTTTTTCCTGAAACCTGTGTTGGTTAAGAAACTCCTAGTTGTAGCTTTCTGACAGTATGAGCTGTCACCTTGCGGCTGAAACGACTGCAATAAGAGGTGGGGGTATGTTAGGGGTTTTTCCTTTTTATAAGGATTTCCCACAGAAAACAGCAAAGAAGGCTGACCGGCAGAAGTCCAAAATTAACACTGATATGAGACTCTTAAGCCAAGAGCCTCACGAGTATCTCCTGTAGGCCGTAACAGGGGTGTAGCAAAGCTTCCTGCTTAAATGTCTGAGCTGCTGCTCTTTTGCTTAGTGAAGTTGCGCAGCAGCCAGCAATAAAGATGTTTTGGATCCCCAGGAGTGAAACTGGGAGGACTGAGGAGAGCTTGATGTGTTTGAAAAGATAACTGGAACACGATTTCCCTTAGTTCCTGGCTTAAGAATGTCAAGAACACAAAGGTTTGGTTTAGACGGGCGGGCAGTAAAGATGTCGGTGCTCTCTGTAGCTTGGCTGCTCTGGAGGTGGATTGTCTTTCTCTGAAGCACAGGAGAGTGGCTGCAAGTAGAGATGTGCTGCAGCGTAGCTGGCATCGATGCAAACAGTGGTGAAATCTCTCAGACGCCTCGCTGGCGTGTCTTGCTCAGGGTTAAACTAATTGTCAGAGGTGACGCCGAGAAGGGATTTCCACCCCTTCCACGTTGTCTGCTTCCTAGAGTCATCTGGGAATTTTACTTAATAAATTTCCTACTTTTTCAAGGACTTGAGAGTGGTGACACTTGATCTCTTCTGCTTTTTTCCAGTAGTGCGTTGCAGCTGGCGTTGCTGTCCCTAGGATATGTCTGGAGTTTATTCTGAGGGTGCTGGGGAACGTTGTGGGGATAGGGTGATGTTCTGTGAACTCCTCCGGAGCAGAGTGCTGTGTCTGACTGCGGTGGGAAAGGGCCGGATTCAGTGACTCGGGTGCGATGCCTTCCCGTCCTGTGCCGGGTGCCTAAAGCGAGGGTCAGTGCCGGATCAGGAAGGAGCCCGGAGTGGGGCTGCTGCCGCGCGGCTGCCGCTGGCGTGAGCGGTTCTCGAGTTTCAGCCCCCGCCACTGTGCAAGTTGGTTTCCAGTTCCCCTGGAAAGTGATGTATTGTCTGTGCTGCTTTGTGCGGATGTCTTGTCTCGGAGCCTTTAAGTGTCGGGACTCTCTTGGTAGCCGTGGTGTTGATGACATCTGTCTGGAAATCTGATCCTGTGCATCTCTGCCGGTAGCTGGTTCTCAAGCGTTTATGTGCAAGAAAGAGGTGCTGAACAGTGCAACTTGACGTAAGAATAGAGAACGGTGATTTTCCTGTAATCATAAATGGCTTCAGTTACGTTGGGTGTGACCGCCGGGGCTGAACTGTTCAAAGTTTCTTCTAGAGGCTTAATTTCACCTCACAAGTTTGTGCTTGAGGATTGGAAGCAGGTGACAGCACTGAGGCACTTGATCTCACGGGGAGGCTTCTGTAGCTCGGTTGACCTCAGTAGTGTTAGCAGTGAAACAGTAAGAATTAAATGCTTCTTGGAAAGACTAAAGGCTTCTGGCCTGAGCTGTTGGCAAGTCTGCGCCGTACACGGAGGCCTGGGAAGTCCAGCCGTGTGTTTGCTGTTAAGTGCCGAGTTGTGTCGTTAATACCCAGTCACTTGTTTTTGCAAATGCTGGCTACAAACTACAATACTCCACTTGTTTTTGAGTATATCGTGCACGCCATACCTTCAGATGGGGGCTGCTAAGGATTCATCCCCCCTCAGAGGGGAGCAGAGGAGGTGGCGGTGCGTTTATATATTGCTTTATGGGTGCATTTCTCTGCACTGCGCGCCCATCACAGGCTTGCCTGCTGTGCTCCAGGTGTCCCTGCACCTTCTCCCCCTAAAATATTCTCCCTAGCCAGTAGCCAAAGTAAATGCTTGCCTGCTTTCAGGTCCTTCCAAGGGAGGTGGAACAGCTTGTATGATGAAGAAGAAGAAAAAGACAGTTGGAGTGAGGAGGATGAGCTCTTCTCAGGTGCAGGTAAGAACAGAGCCCCTGTTGCGGGTGTTAATTGATGATAATCCTGGCTTTGGGGCTCATTCGCGGGTGTCTTGCTACTTTCTGTGTGACTGAATTTTGAAACCAGAAATCCTAAAAGCCCAAGAAAATAGGTAGCTGTCCAACTCCGAGATACTTGTTCTTTGTACCTCTGCCCTGAAATGCATGCCAAAAACTCCTGTTCAAGTTTCAGACTCATCGTGCTTAGCTTACAGGATGTAAATACTGGAAATACAGCTCTTTTCCTGTTCCCACTTTAGTGCCATGAAATAAAGGTTAAATTTACCTTTTCAGCCAGATCAGTTTTCCAGTCCAGTTCCCTTTGCAGCTAGATACGCAGCTTAGCTGGTGAAAAGGAATGGACAATGGATGTCTAATTCCAGCCTCACCGTACAGCGTAGCCACATCCTGGATGGATGCCCCTGTTCTTGACGTGTTGGCTAGTTTAAAACAAAACAGATCTTATTGGAAAGCTTTCACATAAAGCAATTGGGGCTTGAAATGGAAAGGCTGTGCATGCTGTAGCTGCAGAAAAGGGAGGGATAAGGGAATTTGGTTTTATCGTCTTCGTGGGATGCTCTCATTGTAGGCTGACTGCATAGTTCAGCAGTTGGGCCCAAGGCAGTCTCTCGAGGTCTGTACCTCCTGAGTTACGGTGAAATGTAATCCTCTTGCCTTGTTTTTCAGCATCATTTGTGACAAAGCGCCACAACGCTACAGTCTTTGGTTCCAAGAAACAGGTAATGTGGAGCCCTTAAGTCCTTTCAGTAAGGCCTGAAATCGGGACGTGTCCGTATAGAAGAGCAAACTATCGGACAATTTGCAGTACGTTGGTGAGGATACTCGGCTGCTCGGACCGCTTCCTCAGCGGCCTGCAGTTCGCTACGGCAGGGCGAGCTGCTGCCGTGCACTAAATGGAGCACCGGAGGCCGGGTTGGAAAGTGATGCTTCCCGAGGCCAGCGCTTGCAATATCCAGGCTTGACCCGAGCTGTGCGGGTCTTCGCGTTCGCAGAGCTGGCTGGGGTTTCTCTGTTAAAACAGCCCAGTTTGGTAGTTGGCTAAAGCCGTGCGCCTCCCGCACGCCGGGCACTGGGTTTGTGCGTGAAGTCCCTCTTCCTTGATGCACGTGGTTCAGAGCTAGGTTTGCTGGGCTCCCCACGCGCTGGAGAGGTTCAGCGTCTCGTTGGGGTGAGGGACACGCCGTACGGCAGCTGTTACCTGGGAAGAGGGTCCCACGTTTGGTGCTACTGGGAGCTCTCGCCCTTGTAGGAAGATAGCTGCTGGCTCTCGTGCTGCTGTACACCACGTAGCACTTTGATCCCGCTAACTGCTTTCTTCGATTATTTCACATTTTGCCTCCAATACATAAATTCAGGGGACCTGCAGACCTGAACCTGCAGATCGGTTGGGTTTTTTTCCACGCTCTGCTCGTACGCTGTTAGGCAGGACGTAGGCGGCAGTGAGCGCTTTGTATCTCTGCTGCTTGCTGCTGCATCAAGAGGTAATTCCTCTTTTACATGATCAGTGTTGCGCTTTGGGAAGCGGAACTGCTCCTGAGCTTGTGCTGGAGCTCAGCACTTCTCTTAGTTGTAACAGTTACGGGAGCGCTTCTACAGTGACATGACTATTGAGTGTTCCGTGTGCTACTGACGGGACATCTCTGCCTTTCCTCCGTGTTACTAGCACAGATGATAAAGGGAAGCTAACGTGCTAGGAAGGAGATACAGCGCGGTCCTCTGCCAAATGCAACTCCTCCCTGACACTGCACCCTGTACTCACAGAGCACTGCTCACCTGCTCTTTTGTAGAAATGGACAATGCAGGAGAGCGAGTGGATCAAAGAGGGCGTGAAGAAGTTTGGAGAAGGGAGATGGAAGGCCATTTGCCAGAAATACCCCTTCCAGAACCGCACGGCAGTGATGATCAAGGATCGCTGGCGGACCATGAAAAAGCTGGGAATCCTCTAAAGTTGGGAGCCACGAGACCTTCAGTGCAAAAACCTCCTTAATTTTCTTTTGAAAGATGGACCGGAGCAACAGTAGTGGGGAGGCTGCTGTGCTCGTCCCTGATGTGTGTTGGGGCCGGCGAGGTGAGCCCCTCCGGCTCGTGGTACCCAAGGCTGCTGCAGCAGACGGCAACCAGGCCTGACAAGAACCGAGGAGCCTCGCGTCTCGAGCTGTAGCTGCGAGGTTTAGGTGTTCCGCAGCTGGCAGAAGCTGCGCAGCCTGATTGCACGTGCTCGTAAACGGCCTGGATCGGGACTTCCTTTTCCACCTGACAGCTGCAGCCTTTGTAGAATGAATCGCAACCTGATGGGCTGCTGAAGTGACAGGTTTTTCTGCTCACATGCTGTCAAATGGCAGGATGATCCTGTCAGTGGCTATTTTTATGTGTTTTAATTGTCTAAACTGTGAACCGCTCGTTTCACCTGTTTGCACTCAGTCCCTTGTGGGAGAGAGGCAGCACATAGTCCCAGAGCTTCTGGGGGGGAAGAAGAGATTTAGGCAAGGTGATCTGCTTAGATCTCACCACCCCACCCCACCCTGTTTCTTTCTGCTTTGTAAATGGCTAGTCTGCGAGCGGGAATTTCTCCCTCCCAGCTTTGAGGCTTTAAAAACATTATTTTTTGTTTCAGTACTTAATAGTCGGTTGTTCCCATGTTAAAAGTTGCAGTGCTTGCTGATTTTGGTCATGTCTTACTGGCATTTCTCCTTCCTGGTAACCTCCTCCTGTGTGCAGTCCCTGCAAGCGTGTGAGCTCCGAGGGTGCTGCGTTTTTCCTGCCTTCAAGATGCCAAAGCTGAAGTCCATGTACGAGCGGTCTTCTGTAAAATAAAGTTCCTTTCTTGTTGGATATCAAGAGTTGTAATAAGTGTGAACTTGTACCTCATGGGTGGAAAGGCGGCAGTTTGGGGCGCTGCCTGCTCGCTGCCCCGCTGGGGCACGCACCACCCCAGGAACGTGGGGCTCCCCCTTCGCCTCCTGAGCCAGCTGGGGCTGGGGGTGTTGCGTCGGCAGCTGTTTGGGGTGGAACAGCGACGCCCTGAAGGTATGAGGTGCTGCCGCATCGGCGTAGGCACGAAGCAGACGCTTCTGGACTAGATTTCTGTTGAAGTCAAAGGGCGGGGAGAGGTACGGGGGCATTTTCTAAAAGCGGCCTCTCTTGGCCGTGTTCCTGCAGAGCCAGGGCTGGGGAGAAGTCTGTTTGGAAACACCTGCTTCCCCTCTGTCCTTCGGCAGCAGCGGCTGGAATGAGCTTTCCCTCGTCACCTGGCCGTGGCTGTGCGTTTCCCTCCCCTAATGCTTGTAAAACCGTTTCCCTGGGGTGGGAGCAGCCCTGGGTGGGTGGGAGCAGCCCTGGGTAGGCAGGAGCACCCTGCGCTTGCAGAGGCCCGTTCCAGGGCGGAGAGGCTTGATGTGAGCCGCCAGCTGGGCCAGTAGTTGCCGGTGTGAGGCAGTGCCCGTTGGTCGTGCTGGTACTGTGCCCAGGTGGAAGGAGACGCATTCCTGCTGCGTGGGTCCGAGCCCATTCTCCTTCCCTTCTCTGTGCCGGGCTCTTGCCCCAGGCTGCGCAGGGAGGGTGTCGCAGCCCAAGGCTTTACTCTAAGAAACTGGAAGTTTCTTGAAGTAAAACACTTTTCCTGCTTCATTTGCTTGTCCACAAGACACAGCCTGGCAGAGCGTTGGCCAGCGAGGGGAGTGGGGCTGGCTGGGGACCGGCTCTGTGCAGGCGGGAGGTGCTGCTGGTGACCGTGGTGCTTCTTCGCAGCAGCCTCGGCCTCTGCAGAAGGGTTCCGCGGGGTGAGCTCTAACGTGGACGAGCCGGACCAGCTCCTGCTCTGCACCGAGATCACCTTGAGGAGCGGAGCCTGTGCCGCGCCTCTCCTGACAGCAGCCCCGGCGCTGCTGAGTGCCGCTGCGGAGCAGTTAATGATTACCCCTGCTACCTTGGGTCCCTGCCCCGGCGGGAGGGAGCGCTGGAGGCTGGGAAGCAGGATGCTGCTGCTGGTGCTCCTGGCGCTGCTGGGCCCCGCCGGCTGCCCCCAGACTGA